TCCATCTTCCCCCTACCATCTTCACCTGCTTTCCTGCCACCTGTCCTCCTATCTACCCACGGCTTTCTTTCCTCCCATCCTCCCTGCCTCCTCCCCCCACTCTGCCTTCCCAGCCCTCCCAATCTCTTCCTCCCCTGTCTGTCTCCTTTCCCTCCCCTTCCCCATCTGTCTCCCTCGCCTCCCCATCTCTCCCTCCCCTCCCCTGCTCTTACCCTCTCCCTCATCCCTCCCTCCTCTCCCCTCACCCTCTCCCTAACCCTCTCCTCCTCCCCTCTTTCTCTCTCTCCCCCCACTTCTGCTCTGCATTTGTCCTTCCTATCTGCACACCGGGCAGCAGAGCTGGGGCAGTCGCCTCTCAGGGTTCTCTGGCCCTGCCTGGTAGAATGAAGACAGTGGAGCCCCTGGCCCCTCAGTTCCTCCTTGGGGCTCCTCCCCTGGAGAAGCCTCACGCCGCAGCTGTCTTCCTCAGTATTCTCAGAAATGAAAAGCAGGAAGCCACCTTGGTGCCTGTCCCTGAGGGTGGCTAAACCGTCCATGGTGGGGGAGGGAACGTGAGTGACCAGGGCTCCTGGCCTGAAGCCAGGCCACACCATTGCTGACTGTGTGACCACAGGCAAGATGCTTTCTTTTCCCTGACTTGTGTGACTCAGTTTCCTCCTCTGCCACCTCCTCCCGTGGTTCCTCTGAGGTTCAGATGATGAACCAGTTGGCACTGTGCCTGGCACAGAGGCCCTGCATGGTGGGAGCTCTGATGGCCTTCATTTGATGATGATGATGCTGTGGCTTTGCCCTCTAGTCTCTGTGCAAACCTCTCTCTGGGATTATTTGCCCACAGTGGCTTCCCCAAAGGGCAGTGTGGTCAAGTGGGGTCTTGGCACCCACGACAGTTCACTCTGGGGTCAGGGGAAGAAGCCAGCCCCTTCCCATCCATTGGTCTCCATAGGTCAACTGCAGCGGAGACACCTCATCCACCCAGCTGTTAGGACTCTGCCGAGGGGACATCACTGGGCAGCCTCTCGAGGTACGGGCTCTCTGTCCTGGGCAAGATGGTTGTGGTACACAGTGGGCCCCTCCAGGGAGGCTGGCACAGCCTGATCACAGGGGCTGCCTGTGGTGTGGCCAGGGGCTGAGGTCGCTGCCAGGAGAAACTCACATGGTCCCCTTTCTTCAAGACCCACTTATCCCCGGTGACATGCACCTGGACTCCCAGCTCCCAGGGGCGTCAGCTCAACCTGATAGTCATTGAGTGGTCCCGTCTGCAAGCACAGGAAGACGTCAACCAGGACCCGAGGGTTGCAAGCCCACCTCTGTCCTGGGCAGCCGGGCTGGTGGCGGGCGTGTCCTGGCCTCATGAGACAAGTGGACGGTGGAGCTCAGGCCTGGGGCGCGGCTCAGCTCAGGTGGCTTCACGCTCTCTCTGCCGAGGGTGCCGGCAGGAAGCGCAATGCCTTTCTCCTTGCCCTGTCTGTCTCCCAGCACTGTCATCTAAGTGGCAGGGACTCAGCCATTTCTATTTTGTGCGTGGTAGTATCCCCAGGTTTAAGATGGGGCGTGCCACGTAGTCCACATTGTTGACCCATGGAGTAACAGTCCCTGCCCCATAAAATAGGTGGCGTAAATCTGTGAGGGGCCTTGCTGCTTGCTGCGCATTTGGGCAATGATCGCAGCTGTTGCTGCTGTTTCTTTTCATTCATTCATTCATTCATTCATTCATTCATTCATTGAGACAGAGACTTGTTTAGTTGCCGAGGCTGGAGTGCAGTGGTGCGACCTCGGTTCACTGTAACTTCCACCTCCCAAGTTCAAGCAATTCTCCTGCCTCAGCCTCTCAGGTAGCTGGGATTAAGGTGCCCGCCACCACTCTCGGCTGGCTACTTTTTGTATTTTTACTAGAGCTGGGGTTTCGCTATCTTAGCCAGGCTGGTCTCCAAGTCCTTTCCTCAAGTGATCTGCCCACCTCAGCCTCCCAAAGTGCTGGGATTACAGGCGTGAGCCACCGCGCCCGGCCTGCTTTCACTGTTTCAGTGATCAGCCTTCGTGTGTGGGGCGCAGGGGTTGCAAACTTGAACCTTTTGGGGCCAGGTGGAGAACTGAAATGTGTTCTCTGGGCTGTGTGGGAACAGCAGAGCGTGCACCACGTCTTAAAACCTCCACATTGTATGTATTTTTTCACATTTCTTGTAGTAAAATGCATATGGTAATGTAAAACCGTTTAAAAGTATACAACTCAGGGACGTTATGTGCGTTCACACCATCCTACAATCATTGATGCTTGCAAGTTCCAGAACTTTCCTTACCCCAGGGGAAATCTCATACCCATCAGCAATCCCTCCCATCCTCTTTTCCCTGGTCCCCAACTACCACGAATCTGCCTTCTGTCCCTATGCATTTGTCTATTCTGGAAATTTCATATAAACAGACTTATATAAGATGTCGTATATCCCAGCACTCTGAGGCTGAGGCAGGCAGGTCACTTGAGGTCAGGAGTTTGAGACCAGCCTGACCAACATGGCAAAACCCTGTCTCTACCAAAAATACAGAAAATCTGCTGGGTGCGGTGGCGGGCGCCTTTAGTCCCAGCTACTCTGGAGGCTGAGGCAGGAGAATCGCTTGAATTTGGGAGGCAGAGGCTGCAGTGAGCTGAGATTGCGCCACTGCACTCCATCCTGGGCAACAGAGCAAGAATCCGTCAAAAAAACACAATACAAAATACCAGAGTGACCACACAAAACTTAGCAGCTCAAGGGCCACCAGTCTGCAAGCCCTGGTCTAGGGTGACTGGACCCTGGGAACTCCCAGTCCTGCGGGAAAGTCTAGGGAGCCAGCTTTGTGGAGGGCTCAGGTCTCAGTTTCCCCAGCTTTGCCCATTGGGGCTGGGTTTCAGGGAAGCCCTTGGCGGATAACAACAGAGAGCTCAGCCCTGGCTTCTCTGCTCTCATGGTGAGTCTCTGGAACTGCACTGAGCCTGTGTGCCTGGGGCCCGTGAGACCTTGGCACCATCAGGGTCAGCAGTGACACCAGCAGAGGCCAAGCAGGCAGGCCTGGGTATGGCCGGTGTGGTTGGGGCAGCTTGGCAGAGCTGGCCAGCAGTGCAGAGCCCCTGAGACTCAGGACAAGTCCAGCCTCAGGCCCTGTGCTGTCATCCCAGAGGGTGGGTGGCGCAGGGTCAGAGCCCAGCAGACCTGGACCTCCTGTGGTGTCCCACAGCATAGGTGGCCTTCTTCTGCGTAGAGCGGGGTCCCTGCACACCCAGCACACAGGCATCAACCAGGGATGGTGTTAAAATGCAGGTATGATTCTGGTCTGGTGGGGGGTGCTGAGGCCCTGCCTTTCTCATAAGAGCCCAGGAGATGCAGTCATGGATGGGCCACGGCTCATCCTCTGGGTCGAAGGGACCCGAGATGCCCTTTCCCCGCCTCTCATCTGTGTTCCTTCCTGCCTGGGTAGCTCCTTCAATAATGGTGGAAGAGGTGATGGAGATTTCACTGAAGGGTTTTTTTGTTTGTTTGTTTTGAGATGGAGTTTTGTGCTTTCGCCCAAAGTGCAGTAGCGTGATCTCGGCTCACTGCAGCCTCCCCGCCCCCTGCCAGGTTCAAGTCTCCTGCCTCAGCCTCCTGAGTAGTTGGGATTATAGACACCTGCCACCACCATGCCTGGTTAATTTTTTTATTTTTAGTAGAGACGGGGTTTTGCCATGCTGGCCAGGCTGGTCTCAAACACCTGACCTCAAGAGAGCTGCCTGCCTTGGCCTCCCAGACTGCTGGGATCACAGGCATGAGTCACTGCGTCCGGCCTCACTGAAGGTTTTACTGAGATGGTTGTGGGGCGGCATGGGAGGGAATTACATCTCGCAGCAGAGTTTGAGAAATGTTTTCCGTCAAGGCCAGGTAGTAAACGTCTTAGGCTCTGCGGCCCCGCAGTCTTTGCTGCAGCTGCTCCATTCTGCTGCTGTGGTGTCGTGGAAGCAGCCACGGGAATAGGACGTGAACGTGTTGCAGGAAAGGGATCTCGATCCGGACCCAAGAGAGGGTTCTTGGATCTTGGGCAAGAAAGAATTTGGGGCTGCTCGTGCCCAATTTAATGCTTATTTCTTGATGACATGCTAAACAAGGGGTGGATTATTCGTGCCTCCCCTTTTTAGACCATATAGGGTCACTTCCTGACGTTGCCGCGATATTTGTAAACTGTCACAGTGCTGGTGGAAGCGTAGCAGTGAGGATGACCAGAGGTCGCTCTCATAGCCATCTTGGTAGGTTTTGGTCGGCTTCTTAACTGCAATCTGTTTTATCAGCAAGGTCTTCATGGCCTGTGTCTGTCGCTCTTTTTTTTTTTTTTTTTTTTTTTTTTTTTT